TTTGTGTAGTTGGGCAGAATTTTGATAATCTAGTATACAGACACTGCAAGAGGACTGCTTGATTTAATTAGTGATAGACTATTTTCATAGGTAGCCGTTGTTCGAGAAGGCCGTAATTTCAGTCAATCTTAAAGTACAAAATATTTGAAGTTGTGCAGTCAATGCTCAACATCTCATATATTGAACTCGAATAATCTTAAGGAGAAATAGCTAGCTAGTGTGCTTCCAACCTTTTCAGAGTTTTATTTCCAATCCCACAATTAGGAGTTGCGCATTTGTGACACTTGATAAAAAGAAAATCCCACTATTTCTCATCTCTCAACTTAGTTTAACCTTAAACAAAAAAAAATCCAAGAAGAATGAACATGATAGATTATTTTGCCACCTGACAGTATCTTTATTAGTTAACTGCGAGAGACACTGTAAATGAAAAGAAGACAGGTTTTCGCTGCACGTTTTTTTGCAATGACAATTTGCAGTCATTGAAACAAAGAGGTGCTGATGCTGTATTCTAATTACAGCAGCTTGTAAAAACCGGAGCAGGCCATTTAGATTTGCAAGGAAGGATGACTAAGAATCTATCATATTATTGGAACGTTTTTTGCCATCTGGCTGGACTGCAACAATAAATTCGCTGAGCTGGATGAGTGGCTATTTTTCCCTTCGAATGATTCGAGATGTCTTCAGTAACAAATTGGCGAACTGACAAACTTTTGTAGTTGTCAGCAGTGTCAGCTATGCTAGAAAATAATAATAATGATGAAAAAACATGGCTTATTAGATTAGGGCGCTGCTGAATGCTCAAAAAAGCATTCTACAGACAGCGATGCATGGTCTACTGAGGGAAAAGCGATGCACAAGCCTTCATATTTGTAATTTCTGCAAAGATCCTGTTAGATAATGAAGAATTCGCATAATTCGATAAGAATGTGTTTTTAGTCGAAATCTTTCCAAACGTTTTATGCACCATTCTGTAGCTTAAAAGCTGATCACTCACGAACAACGCCGAGTAATGAACCTTTTTCGGGTTGATATTTGGCCGTGCAAATGAACCAAATTTGGTGCAGAATCGCTCAAATGGTCCAGCATTAGTTACAAGGTTATTTTGAGCAGTGGATGCCTTTCGTCTAACATATTCAGACTCAACACTGCTTTATTTGGGGCTGGAGCGACTTCACCTAAAATCTGCGCTCATTTTTTGCTTCCAAAAAACACTTATGACTCGGCGCCTAGAGGCGCTTGACAGATAGCGAAAACACATTTGAAATCAGCATTTAAAGCTCTTCATAATGACCTAGATTCTGTTTGAAGAGGCCACATCGACCAGCCCCCCACAATGGTCGGCCGCCTCATCGTGGCGTGGGGGTGACACTGGGTGTCGAACTGCGATGCACAGCCGAGTGTATACTCTGGCAGGGCCTCCCAAGCTGTGAAGGAGTTCGACGTTTCCGGTTTCGGCCGGATGCCTAGCTAAGAGCCGGCCAGGCCAGATCCGCCGCCGTCTGGTTTTCAGGTCGCTAGGCGGTTCTCCCCGCTCCAAGCCCGGGGTCAGCGATCACCCCGTGGAAATCAAGAGTTGGCCTAGTAAGTCTGCTCTTGTAGGGGGAAAAATTTCATTACTCTACCAGTTAGAAGAATAGAAAGAAACCCTGCACATCGGATCCCGCCTACGGCGCCGGGTGGTAGCAAGACTGATGTCAGGGTCCTCAGGGCGCCTTTTGGATTGGACAAAAACGACACGTCTGCCCGGACGACACGCCACGGAGACTGCCTCATGCTCTGCACTTACAACGCCAGGACAGTCTCCACAAACGCCGACCTCCACGCTCTTCTCGACGCTGCAGAGCACATCAAGTACCACATCATCGCTCTGCAGGAAACGAAGTCCAGGAAGAAGGACGTGCGACAGATGAATGATGGAACACTCATCATTCATGGTGAGAAGGTTCCATCACGAAACGTGGGAGGTGTTGGCTTTGTCGTCCACCCATCTATCGTCCATCTTGTCGATTCGCACGAGATCCTATCACCCCGACTAGCCATCCTACGACTACGCCCTCCACGTCAGAAGACCATCAGCATCATCAACTGCTACTCTCCAACATCAGCAGCTGACGACTCAGAACTAGATGCTTTCTACGAAGACGTGGAGGAGGTCGTCCGCAACGAAAAGTCCTTCTACAAGTATGTTGTGGGCGACTTCAATGCGAAAATCGGGACGTCACTAGAAAAGGAATATAGGATCGGGAAGTTCGAATATGGGCTCCGGAACGAAAACGGCAACCGTCTTGTTGGGCTTCTCTCCGCCGCACGACTTTTCCATGGAAATTCCATCTTCATGAAGAAAGAACATCGCCGGTGGACATGGGAATCGCCCAACGGAACGACTCACGCGGAGATCGACCACATTCTCGCCAACCGAAGGTGGAGCTTGCTCGATGTCTCAGTAGTTCCATCCTTCTGCAGTGGCTCCGATCACCGCCTCCTTCGAGCGATGGAAAAGAAAGTCTGTCACAGCGCCGCGAGAAGGAAGGAAGTCGTTTACGACGGTAACAGGCTGGAGGAGCTCATATCAAGATGTGACTGGCCCATCGAGGAGGACCCAACGTATGACTACGACCGGCTTCTGAAAGGATTGCGAGCCTGCGGAGAATGTGCCTCAGTGACTTCTGATAAGAACTTGGAACGTATATCGAAGACCACCAAGGAATTGCTCGAAAGAAGAAGATTTCTGAGGCAGGATCCGAATGCAACCCATCTCGAGCGACTGATAGCCAACGCCAGTTGCAGAACAGCTTTGCAGGAGGATCTCAGGAAGTACAGGCAAGCCAAGATACTGGAAGCAGCCGAAAAAAGACGAAGTCTTAAGAAATGCCGAAGGGACCTCTGTGAATATCACGTACCGCTGGCTGCACTATTGAACGAAGACGGGACTCCAACTTCTTCCCGATACAAGATGGAATCTATGGCGAAGAACTTCTATACCAACCTCTTCCGCTCATCAACACCCGTGCCGATGCCCGTTGTTCCCACTGAAGAAGTACCACCACGAATTCTACCTGCTGAAGTGCGCACGGCGATTTAGACCATGAAGACATCCACGGCTCCAGGACCAGACCATCTTTCCGTCGAATTTCTGCGAGCCGGAGGACAACGTCTACACGAGATTCTCGCGTCGCACCTGACATCTTACCTTCAGAAGGAGAGGATTCCCGACCAGTGGAGAACGTCAAGAACCGTCCTTCTTTTTAAGAAGGGTGAACGGGAAGATCTTCGAAGTTACCGTCCAATATGCCTGCTGAGTGTGCTGTACAAGCTCTTCACGAAGATTATCCTCGCACGCATATCTAGGACACTGGATGAAGCCCAACCCCAAGAACAAGCTGGATTTCGCAAAGGATTCAGCTGCATGGACCACATCCAGACGGTTTCGAGGGTCATAGAAGTCTGCCGGGAGTACCGACTGCCTCTCGTCCTAACCTTCGTCGACTACGAGAATGCCTTTGACAGCGTCGAAACCAACGCCATCCTGTCTGCGCTAGTCGATCAAGGAGTGGAACCAGCTTACGTGAGGACACTAGCCGACTGCTACAAGGACTGCACAACAACGATGCAGCTATTCCATCGCCCCCTAACCATTCCAATTGGGAAGGGGGTTCGACAAGGCGACACTATTTCGCCGAAGCTGTTCACCGCGGCCTTGCAGTGGGTGATGAAGTCACTAGACTGGGAAGAGAGAGGCATACGAGTTGATGGGAGATTCCTATCTAACCTTCGTTTTGCGGATGACATCGTCCTTTTCTCGAGCAGTATCACTGAAGCAGAGGCGATGCTGAAGGAACTAAACGAAGTAGGGAAGAAGATCGGACTGCGAATAAATCGGAAGAAGACTCAGTTCATGAAGAACGCCCTTTGCGAGGATGCAGAAATGGAATTGGAAGGCACCCCTATCATGGAGACGTCTTCTTACGTGTATCTCGGACGTTCGATGAACATGGAGAACGACTTGAGGGAAGAACTTAACAGGAGAAGAAGAGCAGCCTGGGCCGCCTTCGGGCCTCTGAAGGAAGCCACCGACCAACTGACGGACCCGGAGCTTCGTGCCCACCTGTTCGACTCAACCGTTCTCCCAGCGCTCTGCTACGCAGCTGAGACTTGGGCCGACACCGTAGCCACGTCGAAAGCTTTAAGGACCACCCACAGAGCGCTCGAGCGCAGTCTTCTGAAGATGACCCGACACAAGCAACATCTAGTCGGACTTCGCAGCACGGATATGAGAAGAATGTCCCGTCTTCGTGACCCAGCGGAATACGTTGCGAAAGCGAAACACCGATGGGCCGGTCACATAATGAGAAGAACGGACGATAGATGGACACTAAGAACATCTGAGTGGATTCCTCGCGAAGCCAAACGTCCTCGAGGAAGACCACCGACGAGATGGGCAGACGTGTTCGTGGAACGGATGGACCAGCTGAGAAATCAGCTGGATACGATTCTTGCCCCTGGAACTCGTGGACGCAGCCACCGACGACGACCAAGAAGATCGTGGATGTCCGAAGCGAGGGACAGGGATCAATGGCGACTTCTGTACTGGGGCCCGCACGTCACGTGAAGACGGGCCATCTAAGTATCTAAGTAAGTACATCGACCAGCTTTTTTGGTAAGTATCAAATTGAAATCAGATTAGTCTGTCCGCGAGCGCGTCAATCCCTGCAGATTGAATCTTGGATTTATTTACAATGCACAGAAAAATCTCAACGTGAACCGGTAATAAAATATTCAGTTTCACTCCCTGTTACAGTAAAATCGATTTCTTTCTTATAATAGTCTTATAGTCTTATAATAGTCTTATTTTTATAATAGAATATAGTCTTTTGTTCTGTAAAGTAACGTGATTCAGGATTACACACTTTCTAGAAAGAGCGAAGAAAACCACATTTCTTTTCGCTTTCAAAACACATATATATATATATATATATTGATACCGGAGATGGCCAGGTACAACTCATACTCGCGTATCAGTTGAAAAGCAGAGTTACGTCAATTATGATTGCTGAAATTTTTCTTATCATCACTCTCTGTAAGTTGAGTTTTACTTCGTATCCTGCACATTATCAAACGCTTTCTTCAGTGTGTGTTTCTCGAGCAGAAGACTGCCTCAAATGTATTTGTAATTGTGAGTCGGGATGTGCTCCTGTTGGTTGTAGTATTGATGTGGGATCACTTTCCTGCGGATTCTACCAAGTATGTTAGCATTCTCCATAGCCTACATTACATCAGTGGCATGAGGAATTTTTTGGGGAGGGGGGAGCAAGAATTTTTTTGAGGAACCGTAGCGTTCGCCGGCCTTCCGAAAATTTTTCAAAAGCTTTCCAAACTTCAGCGGGCCTTCCCCGAATTTTTAAAGAAGGGGCATGGTTGCAGCATTGCCTCGCAAAAACTTGAAACTTACAAGGGAAGGATACTGACTTAGATTCGCCTTTTGATATAATCACAAATATTTGGAATCAGCTTTGAACGCTGATTCCAAATATGCTGTTCCTAGTTGCTTAGCATTATTCCGAAGCGAGTTATGGGCTTGCTATTGTGAGTAATCAACGAATTTTTTGAATATCATAAGACGGCGTGTAGATTAGAATCTGCTTGAAAAACAGTGCTAGGATGTTGAACTAGCATCAGATTAATTTCTTCAATCTTGAAAGGGAGCATATGCAATTGCAAAACCACCTAAACGTCGACCCGTAGCATCAGTGAGCCGAGGAGCACGCAAACTTTGAATAGAAAAGAGACCATAACTCGCTTCAGAATAATGATAGGCAGCTAGGAACAACATACCTGGAATCTGCGTTCCAAGCTGATTCCAAGTATTTGTGTCTCATCTCAAAAAGCGAATCTAAGTTAGTATCCTTCCCTTATTAGAGATTTTTATCATAGAATAAATATCTGTACCAATTTTGAACAGGGGGGGGGGCTTCCGCGTCTACAGTATGTTGTCTTTTCAATGAGTGGGTTCTATTAGGTTGTTGCAAAAATAACCGTTTTGCAAAATCTTACTTTGACAAGCTATAACTTTGTCCGCTCTTCATATTTTTGAATGTAGTCAAGATCAACAGAAGCAGTAAACCTTTTGTAACTTAGCGCGCACCTCCCATACCGATAACGCAGTCGGAAAGAAAATTTTGCGTTAAAATCCCAAAGATATTTCTTTCAGGGAATGACAATCCGTTAAGTTTTCTTTTTATGGCTGTGATCAGCTTACTTTGTAGCCGCAGGCCAGTAGTATATATGAATATAAACAAATTTCTACGAGAGAGTTTTGCGAAAGTAAAGATGAAAATTTAAAATTATTTACTTTCTGAGCCTATTTGTGGTGGACCTGATAGTCCCAAATTACGGAAATTTGGAATTTCGCAAACGCTGAATAGCTAAGTTTTTCCACAAGAATTGTATGCGAGATGATCTAATCCCAGTCTTATGAAAATGAGTGAAGATTCTGGCTCGCCTTAACCACGAAAAATTTCTTGGCTTCTAGATTGCTAGCATCCAAGTATCCGTTTTGGTGCATCGTCTCACTTCAAATGCCATCGAAAAATTTATTCAAGAATGCTGTAGGTAAGCAATATTCATTCCGTAACGTAGCTACATTTCAAAAGAATTCGATCATTTGCGCCTGAACTGTGGCCAATAAAGCGAAAGCTATGAAATATTGGTTTTGAGTGCCAGTGTGTGAAATACTGTTGAAATTTTCATGGATGAGGGTAGACGCCTAACGCACCACTTTTGGAAAACACATGAATAAGGCTTTTTAACGATGTGCAAGATATATATCGAAAAAGACAGTTGGATGGAAAAATGTGTCTCGGAAATTTGGCCTAGAAAAAACGGACATTATTTTTGCACCAATCTAATATTCAAATGAAACATGTCCCGGTAAGGTTCGGACCAGACAAAAGTGTTTAATTCAGATCAAGCTCCCCTACTACGAGGACTGCGGCACTCCTGGACGCGGTGAAGGTGAAGATGTGACAGCTGCTTGGCAGAGATGTGCCAATGATTATGACTGCGCCACTCAATGTGTCCAGGTTCCCTCCGTCCAAGTCGAATTGCATTTTTGTGAGCTTTCATGTAAGTTTTAGGCTTACTACGAACGCTACAAGGATAATTGCGATGGGATTGGGCAAGGACCATGCGAGGTTATGTCTCGTCTACACAACGGTGGCCCCGGAGGATGCCATACATCAGCTACCGATGGTTATTGGGATGCTATCCAGAGTTGCTGCGGCTGCTCTTAGGTTTCGTAAGGTGATAAGAGATCAAAACAGCATATGATCGACAAATTTTAAATTGCACCATTCCTGCATTTCCCATTCAGTTCACCAAAGCTTTTTTTAGAAAATCATGGTGAGGATCGCTTGCGATGCATTGAAGGATTTTTGTCTCATAGCCCTAGCAACAAGTTCACCCCAGCACAAAGGAAGCACGATTTTTTAGCTTATCAAACCTCTTTTTTGCATTTTATTTTGGGTTGTGCTATGGTTATACTTTACTTTTTTCATATGTTTTATGTATTCTATGACTTCTCTTGGTCTTCAGATGTTTGGCATCGAAAAATAAACCGTAAACCTTCAAAATGACGATGAAGAAAAGTTTAGCTACATAAATTAAGTACAGCTCTAGAAGAGGGCTGGATAACATTGGATAACATAGCATAACATATTTACTTAGTATTTACCCATTCATTGCATATCGCATCACATCAAAAATGTGCGCCATGTGGTTTCCTTCATAGAGTTCATATAGACATTCTTCTACCCTCTTTTTCATTGAGAATGGCTGGTGGAGGGCGCAGCTTCGATTGCTTATTATGCCTGAGAAATGATTTCTAGTGAAAGAGATGCAGAGCCCAGAGCCCCACCTACTACCCGCCACTCCCAGTGATATAGAGTGTACATATTCCTACCGCTCTCTTATGTAAGTGGATTAAAGCCTAGTAAGTGCTGTATCACTACCTACATATCAGATTTCATACAGCACCCAAAAGGCAGCGTACATGCTACAAAACATTCCCTTGAAATGTATTCTCATTATCTGCTGAGCGGCTATCTGAGAAGAATTGTAATATACCTATTCAAATCCTAATGAACAAAGTTGCTCAAAAGGCAGTCTTGAAGCCGTAAATAAGGTGCTTGTCGATATTTAAGTCAAAGGCAGTTGCTCGGCAAAATGACCACCCTTTCCTAATTTGGTGGATTTAGGTAGTAGACCCCCAAATACACTGTAGCTCAATCCCCACCTGGCAATTTATACGCTAAGGAAAAACGCGCTTCAAGACTCCACTGGCCCCGCCTACTCAATGGAAGTAAAATTCGAACGCTTGTAACCCCTTCCTGGTAGTCGCTTAGTAATTAATAAAAATATATCTTGAAAAGGTTTCAAGGCGTGTGCGATGATTCACAGCCTGCTTGGAATGGCTGGGATACATTCTGACCAATTCCTCGTGACCATATTTCACGTTTACGGAAGACAGTAGAAAAATTGGTCTCAGCCGTACAAGGGATAGAGAAAAGGGGTAACTTTAAAATTAGAGTGACAGCGCTCAAGAATCTGGTCTTTTTCCTCAATGACAGTTTAAATCTGAACATTTGCGCAGAAGCAAGAGCAAGTACTCATGTGAACATAGCGCAAAATTGTGACTGAAAAGATGTATTGTATCCGTAAATTCTTTCTGGACAAAAGGCGAAGGGCCAAGCGCAGCGCTTGTGGACTAAAAAGTGTAGGAGTTGGGTACATAAAACCTATCTCAATGCTCCCATTTTCGATTGCTGCAAAAGAGAAATGAAATGCACACAGTAAGGGCCTGTACGATGAATAGAAGGCTGTTAATGAACTCATTAATAAATTCAACAAGCAGAAATATCAGTCATCTCAGGCAGCAAGAGAGAAGCTTACTCCGTTTACGCGCAGTGTGTAAAGAAATGATGAGGAACTTGGAGATGTGGAGAGGCGAGTATTACGTTGAATACAGCTCAAGGCAAGTTCTAGCGATTGCGAAAAATGAGAATGATTGGAAGATCTTCAATTCATTGTGCAAAAATTGCCACGATTGAACATGCAGAAATAGGGACAGATCTCGTTGAAAAGGCAGTTGCCACTTTCGCCCAGCACGCGTGATCCTTTAGATAGGCACCGAATTTCGCGACAATAACACCTCGGAGGTATCTACAAGGGCCAGTTAGGTTGGGTGGACGAATTTGTACTAGAATTTAGAACGAAGTACACTAGACTAGGATTACGTATAGTGTTGACAACCCAAAAGGAAAGCATTAGAAAAGCAATAATTTACAGTGTTAATGTGAACACCGAATGAGATGGCTATTTGACAGAGCACCTCCACATATTTCCCAACATCAGTCGTGTACAAGCACAAAGCATGTATCATTTATTCTCTGATTAAGAAGCAAGTGCACGCTTACGTACTTTCGATTGAGAAGTCTGAGAATGGTGAACGTATGGTGAACGACTAGATTTCATCAGATACACGTTCAAACCCGCGTTGTTTAATGAACTCGAATATTTTCGCACACAAATTCGTATTAGTAGTTTATTGAAACGCGTTATAACGTAGAGTTGTTTAGACGTACGAAAAGCGTGTTGTGTCCCTTAATCACAGAATGAATGATGTATATATATATTTGATGTTAGAGTCATAAATAATTTGAAAACTGCTTACTCCTTCTCACAACACTGCTTATAAACGACTTGAGTCTCTTACTGATCAACCCTGATCAACACACCTGTGCAGGAGGGACTTCTTGATACTTTAGAAATGGTGAGGCTTTACTGTTATACAGTAGAGCACAGTTGCAACCTAATACACACCACACACAAAATATTTCTTGATTTCGACTAACTTTTGCAGTGTATTTTTTCATCAAATCTTGAACATCAATAGGAGCATCAAATAAAGAAAATTCTTGTAAGTGACGACGATATGTATCCACCAGAATCGTTTCCATATGAACCATCAACGTGGCCGTTTTCGATCATTTTAACATGTCAACTTAGCATAAGCGCCTTAAAGGCAGTGTCTCACCAAATTTTAGTTGCTGAGATTTTTGCATTTTGCAAGCCTCTCGGGACCTGTCTAACACTGTGTGGGCTTGATCGCACGAAGTTCCCAAAAACCCCGTTTTCTGGAGGCCCCGCGGAAGCAACGTGGACGAGTTGTACCTTCCAACTTCAGCCTCAACCACAGTGGCAGGAACACAAGGGGGGGATACCAAGCGGAGGGACATGTTAAAACACGTAAGGGGGGAGACCGAAGGAGTCGTCCGCGCGTACCAACTCGCTCTCCGCGTACCACTTTGAGCGGATTTTTCTCAGCGTGGGTTAAATTGAGTGGGACTTGTTGCAATGGCCTATTTAGAGGTCCCTATGATAGAATATGTGAAGATCCGCACGACTTCAACTTTGGTGAGACACTGACTTTGAATTTGCTCATGTTGAAACCATCAAAAGGCAACCACGTTTTTGGTTCATAAGGGAACAATTCGGGGATGCACGAGAAGCATTCATATATAGTTTGTATGTGCTTCTTCACATCTTGGTTTGAGTTTTGCGAAAGACTAAGATTACAGCAAAGCTATTATTAGGATGTTGGGAAAATGATGGAATACCATAGTTTCCATTTTAGGGCTTCTCTTTTGGTCCATTATAAAAGGTGGCGCAGCAAACTCAATGCACATGTGACATGGAAACTGAAAAGCTTTGCGAGCTTTTTAATTTCCATCTTAAAGACTGCTAGAGACTGCTCAATCACAAAACTTTTGTATCTCTGCATAGAACAGCCAAAAATCTCGACAAAGATTTTTCATTCTAAAATTATAGATTAAAATCGGTGGTCCATAATTTGCAAAAGCTAAAGGAAACACTGGGGGGTTTTGCATGTGTATACATATAGCATAAGAAGCTCTATCAGAAGCCAGCCCGGAAAGTCGAAATTGCTGCAAATGAAATACAGGGCTCCTAAATCGCAGAGTTGTTTGCACCAGCGGTCGCGCGACCGCGTCGCGCCCGGGCATCAATGGCGCCGGCGCCGGCAAAATGCACGAGCGCGACGCGGTCGCGCGACCGCTGGCGCAAACGACTCTGCAATTTAGGAGCCCTGTATAAATCTTAAGTCCCCAGCACATAGTATCATATCTTCTAGTCTAAAGGAGCACTCAGCTATTGTACTACGGGGAAAGGCATCTTACGTAGGTTGGTTTTTGAAAAGCGATACATATATTCGAGATAAGCTTGAAACAGCTGAATTTACCCCATTTTCAGGTGTGTACAGTCTGCTCCAATGCTAAGCAGGCCAAAATCGGCATGGCGGGAGTCCGTGCCGCGGGGATTTAGCGCCACTCTGCGGCTAGCTAGTTTGCTCTCTCCTCGATCTCTTCACTCTCTGCGACAGCGCGCATATGCAGCGCAATCCCCTAGCGCGCGAGCGCGCAAATTCAGCCAAAGGTTCGGCCTGGTCCCGATTGGGGCAGACTGTACACTTTTTCAAATTTTTGAACGAGGTGCTCAGCGGTTTCGTTAGAAGCAATTCTTATGTCGCACGATCTTTCAGGCAATACGCAGCACGGTATAAGGCCCTTTGCGAGGTCCATTGTGTTCGGGCTAGTCGAGTAAGCTAGGACCACCCCGCGGCTTATACACATGAAAAGAGGGTAAATGCGTTGTCCATAGCTGCGAGAATTATTTTGAACAGACCTTGTTTTTGCAAAATTTGCATGTTTATCAACTTAGTGATACCGTACCAATATTTAGAGGGTAATGCAACTGCATGTCTACCTGTCAGCACCAAAAGACAGACTTGATGTTCTATCAATATCCAGCATCTTTTTCAAACAGTTTTCTACCCACAGGCTGTCATCCCATTCAGTAGTGCGTAATGGCGCGTACATAAAACTCTCACCTTTTTTTCAGAATAATGCTTCGCAGCTAGGGACAACAAATGTGTACTCAGCGTTTCAAGCTAATTCCAAGTACATGTGTGGTTTTTCAAAAGGCCAAACTAACTTAAGAGCCTTCCCTTGCCAGTAACTATTCTCTTACTTCTCGGCAAAGATCCAGAGCTCATGTTTGTACTGCCTGCTGGGCACTGCTCAAAGTTTCATTGCTCCAAGTGACTAGTTACATTTTGACGTTTACCTTACAAAACGCGTCGATGGTTCTATTTTGATTTTGATCTTACAGTTTTAGTATATTGGGTTGGTGCAAAAGTTCTTTCGCACCAAATTTA